TATATCTTCTAGGTCTGTCCACTGAAATAATATAGAAGAAATAATACATCCATAACAATTACTGTTAAAATTTGGTCTCTAATTTCATTGCCATTAAAAGGAATCTAGGCTCTTTTGAGAATTGACTGATTCTAGTCTTGTGGTTGAGAAAGCATAAGATTAGCCTAGGCCTCGACAAAGACACTTTCAAAATGAACTGGTTAATGCCAGCTACTCAGGAGCCTGCCGCAGGAGGATCACAAGTTCGAGGCTAATCTGAGAAATTTACGAAGACCTTTTGTCAAAATAAAAAGGGCTAGAGATGTAGTCAGTAGAAGAGTGCTTGTCTAGCACGTGAAAGGCACTGGGTTCAATCACCAGCACCATTAAAAAAGAAAAAGAAAAAAAAAGAGTAACAAGAAAAAAACAGATGAGTGTGGTGGCAAACATCTTTACTCCTAGCCACTTGGGAGAGTGAATCAGGAGGATCAATAATTTGAACCCAGCCTGCGCAACTTGGTGACTTAGTGAGATCCTGTCTCAAAATAAAAAATAAAAGAAAATGGGCTAGGGAAACAGCTCACAGGGAAAAAGTTATGGATCCAAACACAATAAATCAATGAAAATTTCTGACACTTTATATTTAAAACAAAAAAGCCAGAAAGAGCTCAGTTGTATCATGTGAGGCTATTAAATCAACTCTTACTTTGAAAATTGGTAAGTAAAGAGCAAGAAATACATATTTATTTTGCTTCTCATTTAGGACCTGTATATCAACGTAACCAAATAGCCCCAGGTAAACAAGAAAAGTTTTGCTTCATAGAATTCTACCTAATAATAGAAAAAGAATAAAAAAAAATCAGTAAATAATTCCGCAACTCTTAAGTAGTATTATTAATTCTGATAGAGATGATCAGTTGGTGCTAAAACCATTAAAAGAATGATTGATGGGGAAATGGATAGCTGTATGATGTCAAAATACTTCTACAAAGATTTGTTTTTTCCTTTTATTTTTCCAGTACTAGGGATTGAACTCGGGACCTTGCACTTGCGAGGCAGGTGAGATGCCACTGAGCTAAATCCCTGGCCTTACAAAGATTTGTTTTTAATCACAAGGCAGCACCGTTAAGTGTACAATGGTGGAATCACAGTGCCATCGCTCTAAGCAGATTATTAACATCACAAGTGATGGGTCAACCAATACGTCTCTCCTAATGTGATACAATGTGAAATATACAATTTTGCCCTTGATGTGTTCTGGTCAAAAGTATTTAACTTGAATACATTAAGGCTTTAGATGAAACTTATAGTTTATAGAGAATGCAGGAGAAAATAAAGGGACAAGCTAGATGACATCATGGGGGACCCTAGCAGACAAACTCTGGCATAGGACATTTTGTAAAACGACTGCTCAGGATCTTCAAGTCAGCGTTTGGGTGAGGGAAAAGTGTGTGTGGAGACCACACTAGATTAAAAATATGCTCGATAGGAGATTGTCCCAGCACTTGGAAGGCTGAAGCAGGAGGATACTGAATTTGAGGCCAACCTGGGGTAAACTGCAAGATCCTATCTCAAAACAACAACAACAACAAAGTGGGGGACAGGAGTAACTTGGTAGTAAAGTGCATGCTCAGCATGCACAAAGCTCTGGGCTTGATCCCCAGCAATATAAAAACAAATAAATACATACACTTAAAGGACTTAGTAAGATGACACATGATTTTGGATTGGACTCTGGCTTAGACAAGCCAGCCATAAGAGGTATTTGGAAGGGATTATAGGGAATTTGAAATTGGACTGGGTGTTTGACAAAATTTTATTGAGATAGAAAGGTAGAGATTATTCCTTAAAGCAGTGTACAAAATAGCATAATACAGTATGATCTCATTTTAGTAAAAAATGTGAATATATGTATGAAGAAATTTTGGAGAATATAAAATAGAATTATTAGGAATGGTAACATCTGAGTGGTAAAAATGTAGTTATTGTCTATCTTCTTATTTTCACTGCTATTTTATATTATCATTATCATTACTAAAGACAGGTCTCACTCTGTAGTCCAGGATGACCTTGAACTCACTATGAATGTAGCCCAGGCTGGCTCTGAACTCACAGCTATCCTCCTGCCTCAGTCTCCTGAGTGCTAGGATTAGAGGGTTATGCCACTGTGCCCAGCTTTATTTAATTTTGTTTGCTCTGAGACAAGGTATTGCTACTTATGTATTCTAGGGTGGATGTGGACTCGCTTGCTATGTAGCCCAGCATGACCTTGAACTCATGATTCTCTTGCCTCAAACTCTTTTTTTTGGTACTGGGGATCAAACTCAGGTCCTTGCAAGGCAGGCGACAGAACCACTGAGCTAAATCTCCAGCCCATCTTGCCTCAAACTCTTGAGTGTCAGGATCACAGATGTGTACAACAATGCTTGGCTATTTTTTTTTTTTTAATTGGGGATCGAACTAAGGACCTTGCTCTTGTGAGGCAGGCGCGGTGCCACTGAGCTAAATCCAGGTTCCCTGGCTATTTTTTAAAAATCATACAAAAATACAGCTTTATGAAATTAATGAAGGCAGAGATACCTCTGATTTTTCTCATTGTTGGACCTAACACTTAGAAATATATATTTGTTGAATAAACAAGTAGAAAGAAATGTATGAAGATATCACCTTAATTGATATTGTCCTGTAAATTAAGAAGAACTCTTGTAAGTGGTAGAGAGCTTGCCTAGCATACATGAAATATAGATAACAAAACACAGATTTTAGAAAAAAATTTTGTTACAAGATGAACACAGAACAATTCCAGTGTCACTATCTTATTAAATCACCAGGGAATCAAACAGCAAATTCCCTGAAATTACTCTGACTGCTGACAGTCAATTTTGGATTGGGAGACCAGAAGCAGCTCACTTTGCTGGTCTGCTGAGGAGCTGAGAAAGAATGTGGAGAGAGACTAGAAAGAGAATATAGTGGAAAGAGGTCAGAGAGGAGCAACTACACTGAGATCCTATCCAACAGATTCAGTCAGTAATCACTAGTAGGTGCTGAGTACCTAAAATGGGAATTCCAACCTAGATGCTTAAGACATTTATACAGTTTGCATGATTTTTGGCACAGAACAGATCAATATATAAAACCATTCTGGGGCTGGGGATTTAGCTCAGTGGTTTCACCACTTGCTGTACAAGCACAAGGACTGAGTTTGATCCCCAGTACAAAAAAACACAAAAAACCAAACATTTTGGATTTGAGACCAGGGGTGGTGGCACACACCTATAGTCAGGAGGCTGAGACAGGAGGTTTGCAAGTTTATGCCAGTCTGGGCAACAGAGTAAGACCCTTTCCTAAAATAAAAACTTTTGAAAAATCTGGGATATAGTTCAGTGGTAGTATGCTTGCTTAGTATACAGGAACCCTGGTGTTCAATACACAGCACCACACACACATACACAAAAATTAGATTTGATGTGAATTAAATGGAAATATAAAACTGTTTAGCACCAAAAGAATATCTCCTACTTCAAGATTTCAAAGGAGAACCAAAATTGATCTCTCTCTATATGTATATATTAAATTATGAAGATGTGCAAAGTAAAACCATTAAATATGAACACTATTTAAAGGTAGAGTTATGTGATAAGATTTCCCTCTGTAAAGAAAAACACACATATTCCTCAAGAAGTAAAATGATGGCCAGGGATTTAGCTCAGTGGTTCCAGTGCCTGCCTCGCAAGCTCAAGGTCCGAGTTTGATCCCTGGTACCAAAAAAAAAAAAAAAAGATAAGTAAAATGATGAAAAATCAAATACATACTGTTCGGAAATGGCTACTTAGATGGTCGAGCCTGCTGAACCTTTTCCCACAAGCTTGACACGGATAGGGCCTTTCTCCTGTATGGCAGCGCAGGTGGCGCTTGAGGTCAGCCTTCCGCTTCACCACATGTGTGCAGTATGGGCACTTGAACTGCATCCTGGGAAGATCATCTGTCACAAGAGAGCGTGATTAAATCACTGGAGAGATCATAATAACAATCCTGTTAGCACAAGAATCCAAAAGGAGCTGGTGAGCCTAATCTTAGGAAGGTAAAGAAAAAGACAGAAAATTCTTGTAGGACTACATTGTTAATGGGTTTTTTTTTGGTACTGGAGATTGAACTCAGGTCCTTGAGCTTGTGAGGCAGGTGGTAGAAGCACTGAGCTAAATCCCCAGCCTTAGGACTACACTGTTAATGTGACCCTAGGTACAGAGTGATAACTTCAGTATTTGATCTATTTATAATGTCTGAGTAAATTTAGACTGCCATTCTACCCCCACACACTGGAGATTGAACCTAGGTCCTTTGGACTGAGATATATCCCCAGCCTCCCTCCCTCCTCCTTTTTTGCTGTAGTACCTGGGGACTGGATCAAGAAACACTCTACCACTGAACTACAACCCTAGCCCTTTTTAAATATTTTGAGACAAGATTATTACTAAGTTGGTAACTTGCCCAGGCTGGACTTGAACTTGCCATCCTTCTGCCTCAGCCTCTTAGAGTGTTAGAATTACAGGAATGTGCCACCATGCCCATCTTCTGCTTATCTTTTTTTTGAGTCAGGGTCTTGCTATGTAGCCCAGGCTGGGCTTGAACTCACGGCAATCCTCCAGCTTCAGCCTCCCGAGTCCTGGGATTATAGACATGCACCACCACACCTGGCTACACTTTTCTTTTTATTGAGCATAGTAGAATTATTAGATTTCAAGTGTAATAAGGTTGAACTCTCTAGACACAATCCAAAAGTAAAAGCACTTAATATTCAACCTTTTAAACAACTTGTTTTATTGTATGGTTTTGTTTTTTTTTTTGGTACCGGGCATCGAACTCGGGACCTTCTGCTTGTGAGGTGGGCGGCAGAATCACTGAGCTAAATCCCCAGCCCTTATTGTATGTTTTTATCTCTTGTCTTTATCTTTCATATACTTGTAATACTTTTTTTTTTTTTTGGCACTGGGGATCGAATTTGGGACCTTGTGCTTGCGAAGCAGGTGGAGGAACCACTGATATTCAAATCCCAAAGGCTCAAGGCTCTTATATAAAATGGTGTAGTATTTGCATAACTTCTTGTATACTCTAAATCACCTCTAGATTATTTATAATACCTAATGTAAGTGCTATGTAAGTAGTCATTATACTGTATTACTAAAAAATACACTGAGGGCTGTGGATTTGGCTCAGTGGTGCTGCCTCCTGCCTTGCAAGTACAAGGTCCCGAGTTCGATCCCTGGGACCAAAAAAAATACAATGAAAAAGAGCATATATTCAATCCACACACTTTTATATATTTAAAATTTTCTTCGGCTGGCCTCAAATTCATCATTTACCTCCCAAGTGCTGGAATTACAGGTTTGTCCCACCTGGGCAACTTAGCAAGCCCCTTTCTCAAAATAAAAAACATAAAAAGCCTAGGGATGTAACTTAGCGTTCAATCTCCCAGTATCACAACAAAATTAAATTTTAAAAAATTGACATGGCAAATGGAAAGCCTTAGGTTCATCCCCAGCACCACAGGGGGAAATGTACCTATGTTAATAAATTCTCCTACTGAGTGAAACACAGGAAACAACTATTTAAAGTGAAAATATATATACTCTTAGAGATTGAACCACTTAGAAAAAACTTTAAACATTTAACAGAGTTGTGCTGGCGGCACATGACTGTAATTCCAGCACTCTGGGAGGCTGAGGCAGAAGGATGGCAAATTCAAGTTCAGCCTGGGCAATTTAGAGACTTACTGAGATCTGTCTCAAAAAATAAAAAAGGGCTGGGACTGCAGCTCAGTGCAAAGGTTCTGCGTTTAATTCCTTGTACCACAAAAACAAAACAAAACAAACAAACCACATTTAATCCAGATACAGATACAGATTTGGAAAATCATAAACTTTGACCTCATTACTCTATTATTTTGACTGTTAAATGTATCCAACATTATACTGACTTAAACTCATGTTTTATGAAGTAAATCTCATTATAAAAGTATGGCTTTAAAAAAATCACTTAGTTCAACTTCCCATTAACACCTAAAATTAAGGGCATGTTGAGATAGGATTGATTTCTATAGAAGTTTGGAAATGGATTGAGGATACTTCTGCTCTTTTTGGGTACCTGGGAAACTCCTAGATGTGACATCAGATCCTTGACCATACTGATAGCCTACAGGACCAGAGTCCATTTCAGCATCAGTTTGGGCTTGGGCTTGTTCTTCAGATTGGGAGATGTGACTGGAAGAATTGGATGTTCGTGCTTCTCGTTTGCTTGACTTAAAATGAGTAACTTCAGAAGGCTGTGATAATCTCAAACGTTTGGCTTTTTTAATGGAATCTTTTTCATGCTTGGCCGATGGTTGCTGAGTGTTCCTCTGGGAGGCTGGATGATAATTATACTTATTCCACGACTTTCCACTTATTCCACCTGTTCCCTGGTCTGGGCTGAGGTGAGAATGTGGAGAACTGCTTCCTTCTTGCCAGCTGCTGCTATAAAAAGGGGAACGTTCTATACCATTGGAATTGACATCTTTATCTGAGAGACTGAAATAGCGATCTTTTTCTTTCTCACTAATGTCCAAGGAAGATTTAATGAAAGTCTTACATACACCAATGACATCAGTCATCTGAAGAAAGCTGGCAGCAGACATCACTTCAATGACGTTCTGCCCAGTAAGCGACAGTTTGCCGGAATAGACAAAGTCCAGGATAACTGTGAAAGTGTCAGGGGAGAACGCCTGAAATGTGGCTGTGGTTGGCTGACTTGTCTCCTTTGAATTCTGAGAAAGAAGCATTTTGAAGTAGCCACTACTAGCAAATAATACATTTCGATGTGCTTTGAAGACCTTTCCTTCAACCAGAATACTGCAGTCACAAAATACATCTTGCCTGCGCTGCTCATTCAGCTGTTCCAGCAGGTGAGACTGATGTGAGGAGATCTCCATTCTGCAGGGAAAGACACAGGTGGATACCAAAAATTAAATACCAATCCCTTTCCAGGACAAAGCAAGAAGATAATGATCAGAAGACTCCTTCTTTCCCCCATCAAAACAACTTTTCGGCCGGGGATTTAGCTCGGTGGTTCTGCCGCTTGCCTCGCAAATGCAAGTTCCATCCCGAGTTCCATCCCCGGTACAAAAAAAACCCAACCACTTCTCTTCTTGGAGAATACAGTCGTTAAGACACAGAAAATAATAGGTTTCATTCATCATTTAATATTATATTGTTAGAAAATTGTTTCAGCAGTCACACCTTGATTGAGCCTTCATTTATTTATTTATTTTAGTACCGGGGATTGAACTCAGGACCTTGTGCTTTCGAGGCAGGCAGTGGAACCACTGAGCTAAATCTCCAGCCCGAGCCTTCTTTTATATGCTAACCTAAGCAGTCATGATCTCAGAACCCAAGCCAGGCAGGAAATAAGTCCTGAGTCAGTGAAGTCAAAAATCATTCCCTTTATATAAGCGGATCATTTCCAATACTGTGTGGACACATCTAGCATCTCTTACTTTGAAAACAAACAAGCAAACAAAAACTTCTTAATCTCACATCTATCTCTGGCTACTCCATTTCTCTCTCCCAAACACAAAGTTCATTGAAAGACCTTTGTTTTGATATTAGTATCCACAGTCTTCACTTTTCCTCCTGTTCTCTTAAACTCAATCCTTTCGGATTTTCAACCTCATCCATCAAAACCAATCTTTTAAGGTGATTAGTAAAGTACATGTTGTCAAATCCAGTGGTTATTTCTTTGTCCTCATTTTACCAAGACAGTCAATCTCTCTTCATCCTAATACATTTTCCTCACTGGCAGGATTGCCACTCCTTCTCACTCTCCTTTGCTGGTTCTTCTCTGTTTTCCTCATCTCTAAGTGTTGGAATGCCCTGTGCCTCAAATACTTACTTTCTTTCTTATTTATGTGTGTGGTTTTTTTTTGAGACAGGGTCTCACTAAGTAGTTCAGGCTGGCTTTGAACTCACTATGTAGCCCAGGCCTGCCTCAAACTTGTGGCAATCCTTCTGCCTCAGGCTCCCAAGTGCCAGAATTACAGGCATGTGGCACCACACTTGGCTCAGTATCTCTAATGAATACTGTGTAGAGAAGATGCCTAGGGATCCCATTCAGTCCCACAGGTTTAAACACCATCTTAGAGTTTATGACTCCTTTGCATGGAGCTACATCCCCAGTCCTTTTTTTTTTTTGTACCGGGGATTGAACTTGGGCTTGCACTTGTGCAGCAGGCGGTGAAACCACTGAGCTAAATCCCCAGCCCCCCGCTCCTTTTTTTAAGACAGGGTCTTAATAAGTCACTAAATTGCTCAGGTTGGGCTTTAACTTGCAATTCTCTGGCCTCATACTCCCAAAATGCTGGAAAAGATATGTGTCATCAAGTCTAGTTATTTATTTTCATTTATCTATCTCATTTCTTATGTTTGTCCTATTAACATGGGCTGGCTGCACCCATAAAGTATAGAACAATGACAACAGACATCACTGACTGAATGGGAACACTTGTAAAATTTCACCGTTAAAGATGTCTGGTGCCATGCCCAGTGGCATATGCCTGCAATCCCAGCACTCTGAAGGCTGTGGCCAGCCTGGGCTACAAAATGAGTTCGAGCTCAGCCTAGACTATGTACACAGAACTGTCTTTAAAAAAGAATGGGCTTAAAAAAATAAAGTAGGAGATATTAAGAAGAGAGGGGAGAAAACAAAAAAGATGGGCATGTGGAGTGTGCCAGTTATCCCAGCACTCTGGAAGGCTGAGGTAAGAGAATTAAAGTTTGAGCTCAGCCTAGGTAACTGGGCGAGACCCTGTCTCAAAACAATAAAAAAAAAAGTGCTGGGGATGTAACTCAGTGCGAGAGCCCTGGCTTCAATTCCCAGGACCAAAAAGAAAAAAAAAGAAAGAAGAAAGGAGGGGGAAGAAGTGAAGGAGAAGGAGGAAAAAGAAGGAGAAGGAAGAGAAGGAGGAGGAAGAGGTGGTATTTAGTATAAGAACTTGGCACCCTTTTGTTTCAATTTGTTAATTTTTCTTATTGTAAATAAATGTTAAACTTTATTTAGCTCAGTGGTTTTAGCTCAGGGATTTAGCTCAGTGGTTTCACCACCTGCTGCGCAAGCACAAGGACCTGAGTTCAATCCCCAGCACCAAAAAAAAAAAACCTTTAATAAATGCTTATTCTGTGTGCTGTGGTTTGGATGTGGTCTGAATGTGTCTGCCAAAGGTTCATATGATGGGAAGTTGGTCTCTAGTGTGGCAAGGTTAGGAGGTGGGACCTAATGGGAGGTTATACTAGGGCTCCTGCCTTTGGAAGGAACTGATGTAAACAATTCTTTTGGGAATTTGGTTACTTCTCACAAGAATGTTATAAAAGAGCGAGCCTGACTTCTGAATTGCTCTGTGGCTTCCTGTCTCACCATGGGTCCCGCTCTAACATAGTCCTGCCCCAACACCACTGCCATGATGCCACTGCCATGATGTGGCATAGTGTGTTTGGGGGCGGGGGTGGCTTGCCAGAGCTGGTGCCATGCACTTGAACTTCTACAACTCTGGGCTAAATAATCCTCTTTTCTTTATAAAGTCATGAGCCCCAGGTATTTCATCATAGTAATGAAAAATGGACAAATGCACTACCACTACATTTATTGCTTTTTAGCCTTGGTTTGTATATTAATTTCCAAGAGCTGCTGTAACCAAGTACCACAAACTGAGTAATTTACAACAGAATTTTATTAACAGGTTGGAAGCCAAACTAAAATCAAGTTGTCAACAGGGCCATGCTCCCTCAAAACCCGTAAAGGAAGAATCTTTTGCTATGTCCAGCTACTGGTGGCCTCAAGTTTTCTTTGGTCTGTAGCAGCGTAAGCCTAATGTCTGCCTTTGTCTTCACATGGCCCACCTGGTCCCTGTGCGCCTTGCTGTCTCACACAGCATCCTTCCTATCTTCACAATGTCTTCTTATAAAGACATGGGTCATTCTGGATTAAGGGCCCAATAACCTCAGTATGACATCATCTTTTTTTTTAACCTCACCTTAATTGTACCTGCAATGACCCTATTTCCAAATGAGTTACACTGGATTAGGACTTCATCATATCTTTTGGGAGGAACACATTTAAATCTGTTAAAATGATGGGCCGGGGATTTAGCTCAGTGGTTCCGGCACTTGCCTCACCAGCACAAGGACCCAAGTTAAATTCCCAGCACCAAAAAACAAAAAAACCAAAAAAACAAACTGTTAAAATGATATATTACACATTAATGGATTTTTTGGGATGATGCATTCTTGGAATAATCTACCAGTCTTTATTCTTCCACTTATTCATAAATCTTGCTTTTTTGGTTTTCCAATAATATTAGGTTGAACTATGTGATGAATTAAATGTTGATTCCCTAAAATGCATGTATATTTGGAACTAGGGAGGGTCTTTGTGGATATAACTAGTTACAATGAGGCACTTCTGGATTACAGTGGACCCTAAGCCCAATGACTAGTACCCTTATTAGTAGGAGAGAAGTAGTACAAATATACACAGGAGAGAAAGCTATGGGAAGAGGAGGCGGCGACAGGGATGATGCAGCTTCTAGTCAAGGAATGGAAGCAACCAGAAGCTAGCACGGGATCTTCCCTAGAATCTTCAACGGGGCATGGCTCTGCAGGCACTGATTTCTGACTTCTTGCTTTTAGAACTGTGAAAGGATAACTTCCAGGGTTGTGTTCTGTTTTGTTTATGGTACTAGGGATTGAACTTTATTAAGACCCTGTCTCAAGATAAAAAAGAGTAGAGATCTATCTCTGTATCAATCAATCAATCTTGATTTAAAATGAATTGATGAATGTGAAAAATATTTTTGTATTAACAGAAGAAACTGTAGCTAGTGAAAAGCTGGTATTTTCGTAAGTTTGGCAGACTATTTTTCTGTAAAGGGGCAGACTGGAATTACTTTAAGCTCTGTAAGCCATAGGTCTGTCACACCCACTCCAGTTCCACTATTATGTCACTCAATTCTGGCATAAGTAGAAAAGCAGCCACAGAAATGGCTGAAGGAGTGACCCATGGCTGTGATCCAATAAAGCTTTATTGACAAACAGCCACAGGCTACCCTTTGCCAACCCAAGCTGTGGACCTAGCCATGCCTTAAACTGTATCTAGTCTTAGTCTATTCAGTTATTTGAGCCAATAATGCTCCTTTCCTTAAGCCAGTTCAAGATGACTTCTTTTTCCTTATAACCAGAAAATCCTGATTTATAGTTATTTCTATAGGGTCTCGATGTTTTGATAATTTTCACCTATCAGTGCAGCCTTTTCCTTAAATCCAATGTCAATCCTGAAAGCAAAGTTGGTTTCATAGAGGAATGATTAATTGATGTCTACACAATTTCCAGTTCTTTTTCAGACATAAAAGTGTTATATAAATACTTTGGTTGTATTCTTAAGCTTCTCAGTATGAAAGTTAATTCCACAGAGGAAAACACAGAATTTTAGATTTTTAGTTTACATTTCAGTAAGAATTTGCTTTCTAAGCAATTTATGGAAATTGCAAGTGAGCAACAATACTGTTAAGTTACAAACAGTGGTCACAGTGTGCAAATTATTTAAACAGGTTCCCAACTAAGAGCTGCTAGGCAGTAGGATGATGTTTTACCTAAAAGTGAAGAGGAAAATTATTTACTTCTGACTGGAGAATTGAACACGGGCTCTGATCAATGGGAAGAATGATGGGGCCCCTCTGAGAAAAGGTTGGGAGCCATGGGAAATGACCCCAGCAGCAGGCTGTGTCAAAGGGCAGTCACAAGACTTGTTCCTACGTGGGAAGAACCCGAAGTTGGCAGTTGAGCTCCTGCTCTATATACTCTGAACAGGAGGCTATGATCTCAAGATAGGATTAAAGCAGCGCACACAGATCATAGAATCACAACCAGCGACCACTTGAAGGGGG